AATACTTTATTAATTCCACAAGTACTATCATTAGGTATTTTATTTTACAAGTTAAAGAATGATTGTGTTGCGTGTGTACTGTAGAGCTGGAACTGATCCACAGCTGACTCTCCCGCAGGTTCTTTCTCAGAGGCAGTTAACTGCACAGGAGGAGACTGCCCAACCTTCTCCCGCGGAGCAGAGCAGCTGGTAGCTTCAAACCACGTGCCTTTGGGATTGCAGTGCAGCTTCCAGCCACAAAACCACCAAACGACAAGGGAGCTCTGGTGGCCTAGGGCTAAGAAGCTGCACTGCAATACCAAAGACTTGTAGCTGGTCTGTAGAAGGACAAGTAATCATCTCTCCTGTGATTTACTACCTCTGGAAACCCACCAGAAAGTCAGCTGTGGGCTGGTTGTAACATGAGGGCACACAACAACAAGAACAATATGTCATCAAGAAGTTCCACAAAGAGGCTAAAATTGAACATGCATTACTTGGAGAATACGTTTTACCGTGGTTTTCAAACTTAGGAAAATGTTTTGAGGTAACTTTCTTTTTCAGTCTTTTACTTATTTTTAGAAATATCTTATTTTAGGTGAAAATTACAAAATAAATGTGTTTCCTATTCAACAATTTATAAACTAGTCAGTGGGTGCTATTCTCACAATGTATGAACAATCTCCCATTTTTACCCTACTTTCCCAGTTTCTATTCCTCTAGATTTTCTGCCTCTCCTTGCCTTCTCCTCTTACCTTTTGGGTAAATGCTGCCCATTTGGTCCAGCAGTTGATTGTTCTAACAAGCACATTCCTCATGGCTGTTTATGCTTGTCTACAGGTTAATCTATTATTTGGCTGAAAAATGTCTCCAGGAATGGCTTAAGACCCAGGTTAAAAGAATGGTTTAGAGTAATAGTCTCAAGAGTTTCTCAAATTTCTATTAGTCCACTATGAATCTGAGTTTTCCTACATATTTTTCTTCCATCCTAACTAAGACCTTCTATTGTGGCCCTGGTCAGAGCAGAGATAGGCTTTAGAAATCTTTTCCATTTATTCACACAAATTTCAACAATTAGTAAAGGTTCTTAAGAATGTAGTTATTGTACAAGAAATTGAGATAGTGTTTAAAATCCCAGAATATTTAACAATTATTAGTATGTCTAATGGCAAACAGAGTTCTGGCGGCCTAGTGGCAAGAGCTGTCCCAAAGGCACACAGTTCAAATCCACTTGTTGCTCCATGGGAGAACGATGGACAATCTCCCATGTAATTAACTGTCTCTGAAAACCCTCTGTAGGATCGCTATGGGTCAGTTCTGACTCTACAGTACACAACAAAAACAGCAAACAAGGGAGTTCTGGTGGCCTAGTGGTAAGAAGCTGCACAGAAAACCCAAGGTTATGTAGTTTGAATATACCAGCTGCTCTACAGTAAAAGGATGCGTAATCTCCTCCTGTGTGATTCACTGCCTCTGAAAACCTGCTGAAAACTCAACTATGGGTCGGTTCTGAGAGCAAACAACTCAGTGTTTAGTAGATTGAAGACTAAAGATCTGTTTTCGTGTAAATCTGCCAAACAAAAGAACTACTGAGGACTGCAGGAGATAAGCCCTAAGTAAGTATTCCCTTGAGTCTTAACACACACTCCCACATATATCTATATATAATAATAATCTTACCCAGGAGCTGGAATAGAGATTTTAAAAAGACACTCACACACTCTAGTAAGCTGTTTGAAAACACTAAAGAATATAGCTAGTTACTAACAATGAGATATATCACACGGTAATACTTCTATTTGTAACAGAACATACACCTTCAAATTAATTGCCTGGTAACTGATGGCACACAACCGAGGAGTCTCCAAACCATTTTTCTTAGGTTTCCTGTCCAAGATAAAGATACTCCAAAGTATCATGTCAAAAGCTGCACTACCTACCTACTAACCCCTATTACTACCAATAAGATTTAAAAAAAAAAGCCACATCTGTACTGGAAGGGTTAAAGGAATCCATATATCAATATCTAATTACTAGAGGTGTCAAAGCATAATGAAACATTACTTACTTAAGTATTAGCAATCTAAACTTAAGCACTGAAACAAACTAAGGCTAGGAACTAAACCTTGCTCTTATGTTTGTTACCCATGCTCAGTGCCATAGAGCCATGGTACAAATTATACGTCTGTTTAGATTCTTACCTGTGTCACTAAAGGCTCCAACAGCCTTTCAACTGCCAGAGTCCTGATCTCTAGACTTTTGGGATCCCATTTGAAGTTTATGTTGCCTGCATGGACAGTAGTCATTTCTGAAAGAATAACAAGAAGCCAAAGTTAGGCAAGCATAAAATACAAACATGAAATACATAACCAATATTCTTCTACCTAAGGACTTTTAAAGTTTATATAACAAAGCTACATTAACCACCACAAAAAAAAAAAAAAATCTTGGTGTTCTGCCCATAAGAGTATAGTAACACTTGGAATCACCTAAGATTTCTCATTTATATATGGCCAGGAGATACTTCCAAATACAAAGAGCTATTTCCTTTGGGCTTCTCTGGCATCAAGCTGTTTTTACGTTTAGATTTTTACTACCTAACATTAGAAGTGAAGTGAAAAGCTAAAGTGAATGAAAGCTACTTTAAAAGGAATTTCTTCAGAAACTAATACTGAAGATTCTGATTTTTCTTATTCCACAACATTTATAGTACACTATTATCTAAAAGATATACCTCACTTCATTTTTTTGATGGATTCTTAGAGAATATCTTGTCTTACTCTATTAATGCACAAAGCTTAAGACTTCTGCCCCCTGCTCCTAGAGCTATTATCACTCATAGCCAGAAGAAATTTCCAGTCTCACTTAGTCAAATATAACTGTATCAATGTCAAAGGAAATTTCCATTGGAGAGAATGTTTAAAATGGGGAAGGTGGAGGGAAACCCTGAATGAAAATATCAAGCAGTTGGTATCTGCTTCTGAGAGTAGTGTCTTCATTTTTAAAAATGAATCAGAAACATACAGTTTAAGTGAGATTAATATAAACTTTCCAGAAGTTTATAGGAATTTGATGTTGTTGTTGTTACTGTTGTTATGTGCCGTGGAGTCACTTGTGACTCATAGCGATCCTATGTACAACAGCCCTAAACTCTGCTCTGTCCTGTGCCAATCGCACAGTCTCCGATACACCCATCCTGATTACCCCAGTCACTGAATCAATCCACCTATAAGAGGGCCTTCCCCTCCTGCACTGTCCCTCCATCCTACCAAGCATGATGTCCCTCTCCAAGGTCCCTCCTTACAACACGTCCAAAGTATGTTAGACGGAGCCTTAGAATCCTTGCCTCCAAGGAGCCACCCGGTTTGACCCTTTCCAGGACAAATCTGTTTTCCTAGCTGTCCATGGTATTCTCAATACTCTTATAGTCAGGTTTATATAAAGGAGCTCAAAGGCAAGTGATTCAAGTCTACCAGTTATGACATAGGAGAAAAGATGGGCAGTCTCCTCCCATGTGATTTAGAGCTTCTGAAAACCTGTCAGAGGGCTAACTATTAGTTGGTTCCAACTCAACAACAAGGAGTTAAGGAGATATGACAACTAAATAGGATAAAGAATTCACTGTTTTCCTAGCAGTTCATGGTACCCTCAATACTCTTTTCCACCACCACAGCTTAAAGGCATCAATTCTCCTTCTATCCTCCTTAGTCACTGTCCAACTCTCTGATACATAACAAGTGATAGCAAAGACCATGGCCTGTAAAATATGAAAACGTCTGTTTCCAATAATATGGTAATTTAAGCTCCAAAATTTAATTATAAAGAATTAAGGCACATACAAACTTGAGGACAATGATGTTCTCTCAACAGCACTTAAGATAATTACTAAAAATTAGAAACTAAATTTCTAACAGATGACTGAAAAAAATTTCAAACTACACAAGTGACTAACATGTTGCCCTTTTTAAAAGTCCCCCCAAAATAAACCACTATTATCAATGCTCATCTTCATTTCTATTAATTATCATTTCACATTAGACACAATCAAAGTTCACTGAGAAAGTTTATCCAGGTCTAAGGAATTTTATTGTGGCAAAGTAAGAAACTGTATAATGATTAATTAAATTATATCCAAAAGACCCATGGGCCAGGGGTTCCAATTGTCTAAATTAAAGACTATTTGAGTATCAAAAAGAATAACTGACTGTAACATATTGTTGCTGCTATTTTTATGTGTAGTCAAGTCCACATGTTGTTGTTTTTGTTGTGTGCCATCGAATCACTTGACTCATAGCGACCTGATGTACAAAAGCCCTGAAATCTGCTCTATTCTGTGCCAACCTTATTGTCTCTAACACATCTATTCCCATTACACAATTATCACTGAATCTTCCTCTATTGTACTGGCCCTCTACCCTCCCAAGCACGATGACCCTCTCCAAGGAATGGTCACTCTTTGCAACATGCCCAAAGCATGTCAGACAAAAAAGCTTCAGAATCCTTGCCTCCAAGCAGGAGCCTGGTTTCACTCTTTCTCCGAGAAATCTGTTTGTTCTCCTAGCAATCTATGCATGGTATATTCAATACTCTTCTCCAGCACCACAGTTCAAAGGCATCAATTTTCCTTCTATTATCCCTAGTTATTGTCCAGCTCTCTGGTGCATAGCAAGTAATTGCAAAGATTATGGCCTGGATCAGGTGCACCTTAATCTCCAGACTGAGGTCTCTCACAGCAGACTTTCCTAATGCAATTCGTTTTTTGATCTCCTGACTGCTGGTACCAACAGTGTTGACTGTGGAGCCAAGCAAACTAAAGCTGTTAACAATCTCAATCTCTTCACCATCTATCATGACGCTGCCAATCTGCCCAATGATAAGAATCTTTGTTTTCTTGATGTTGAGCTTCCATCCAATAAAGAACAGATCTTAACTTGGTCCTATCTTGTGCCATCCTCTCACCACCTCAGATATACCTGAGGCCATTATTAAGTCACCAAGTCAGTCCATCTTGTTTAGGATCTTCCTCAAATACACTGACCCTCCACCTTTCCAAGCATGATATCCTTCTCAAAGGACTGGCCCCTCTTAGCAAGTCCAAAGAATGTGAAATGACACTTCACCATCTTTGCTTTCAAGGTGTACCCTAGTTGCACACCCTTCAAAACAGACTTGCTTGTTCGTTTGGCAGTCCACAGAACATTCAGTACTCTTCTCCAATGTAACTCAAAGGCATAGATTCTTCTGCTGTCATCCTTAATCACTGTTCAACTTTCATACGTATAGCAAGTAATCAAAAACACCATAGCTTAGATCAGGCGCATCTTAATCTTTAAACTGACAACTTGCTCTTCAGTATCTCAGAGAGGTCCCCGACAGATTTCCCCAATGTTAAGAGATAATGTAAGAGTGTGTGCATGTAGATGCTATGAATCTCTTTGGCAGTCTAGTGAAACCTACAAAACAGCAGTGCCCAACAGAAACAAAATGCTAACCAAATATAAAAAAGTTTTCTAATAGCTACACTAAAACGGGCAAAAAAATGATGACATTTTAATCTTTCATTTACCTCAACAGATCTCCAAGATATGATCACTTCAATATGTAATCTGTATTTTAATTACTGGAGATATTTATACTTTCATATTATGTCTCTGAACTTTAACTATAGACTTTTAGAATTCTTTTAAATGCTTGATATAAAACTCAGGGGATTACAAAAAAAAATCTGAGCAAATTACTTTGGAGTGGTAGAAATGTTTGGAACTAGACAAAGATGTTAGATACACATAATAAGTGCACTTACATGGTTAATTTTATGCTAAACAAATTTCCTTTTAATAGATTACTTTTAATTAACCAACAAATGTGTGACACAGTAATACAAAGGTTGGCTTATTTTGTTTTAAATACATGTGCTTCCTAGACAAACATTTTAGGAAAGAAGGCTTATCAGGGTTTACCGAAGACATGAAAAAAAATTATCAGAGTCATTAGTTATTAGAGACATACCAATCTAATATCTACCCTAACAATAAATAAATTTCACTCTCATCCAATAGTGATGGCGATTTTAGGGAACTCGGAACCCTTATACACTGCTAGTAGGAATGTAACAGTCCAGCTGTTGTGAAAAACTGTATGGCAGTATCTCAAAAAATTGAAAATATAGTTACCATAAAGACCAAGCAACCCCACTTTTTGGTATATATCCAAAAGATTTAAATGCAGAGACCTGTATACCAATGTTCATTGTTGCAATAATAATAATAATAATAACAATAATGTATAAACTATCTAAATGTCCATCAAATATTAATGTATAAATAAATTGTAGAACATATGTACAACAAAATAGTATTCAACCAATAGGAGAAATGAAGTCCTGGAATGTGCCATAGTATATATAGACAGAGCCTGAAAACATTATGCTGAGCAAAATAAACCAATCACAAATGTTTTATGTTGTTGTTGTTGTTGTTGTTGTTGTTGTTATACACCGAGTCACTTGCGACTCATAGCGACCCTATGTACAACAGCCCTAAACTCTGCTCTGTCCTGTGCCAACCGCACTGTCTCTGACACTCCCATCCCGATTATCCCAGTCACTGAATCAATCCACCTCATAGAGGGCCTTCCCCTCCCAAGCATGATGCCCTTCTCCAAGGACCGGTCTCTCCTCACAACATGTCCAAAGTATGTTAGACGGAGCCTCAGAATTCTTGCCTCCAAGGAGCGACCTGGTTTAACCCTTTCCCGGACAAATCTGTTTTCCTAGCAGTCCATGGTATTCTCAATACTCTTATAGTCAGGTTTATATAAAGGAGCTCAAAGGCAAGTGATTCAAGTCTACCAGTTATGACATGGGAGAAAAGATGGGCAGTCTCCTCCCATGTGATTTAGAGCTTCTGAAAACCTGTCAGAGGGCTAACTATTAGCTGGTTCCAACTCAACAACAAGGAGTTAAGGAGATATGACAACTAAATAGGATAAAGAATTCATTAAACACTATACACCACAGCTGAATCTAGATCAAATTATACCAAGTGATAAAAATCAGTCACAAAAAATTACAGTATAAAACTACTATTAAAAAAAAGATAAGCAAAGGTTTACACACAGAATTATTTGTGGGTGGTTATCATGGATAATAAGGAAGAGAGAGAAAAGGTGTAAAAGGTCAGAGAAAGGGGTGTAAAAATTTATGAATAAGCTAAGTGAAGGAAAAGACAATACACATTCAGGAATTGATCAAACACTGTAATTACATTAATCAATTCTACTTAATGCTATAAAACGAGTTACAAAT